CTTTTATCGAGTAACTTCGACCACATTTTTGCCCATATTGTATCTTTATTTCTGTTTACACGCTAGTACAGACCAGAGACGAAACCGGTAAAGGAACAACAACAACGTTTCCTTTTAAAGGTTTTTATTCGGATACGGTGGCGACAGATGGTGGCGGCACAACAATTTGGGAAATAGTAATTTCCGCAATACTTGAACAATACTAGAGTCTAGGCACCTATACCAGGGCCGAGCCCCACCTCCTCGACAAGTATCCCGATCCCGACCCTTACATAATTTGGCACCCACACAACACTATCAGCTGCTTATCATCATGCTCGTCCACGCCACGTGCGGCGCGGCGGCCGGCTCGGCCGACCACGACCTCGTCTGACATCGAGTCCGACGTCTCTCCCACTTTGCCGCCCAACCTGGCCCAAACAAGCGCCATTATTAGTCAGCAGAGCAGTGAGGAGAGCGCGCAGGTCAGTCGCGAGCTGACGTCGAGCAAGGCACCCTCACAGCAGAGAATTGTCACACAACTGCAGCACAACTGTCGAAATCACGATACAAAGTCTTGGTGCGATATGCAAAATGAGGAAATTGATTATGTCGTCAAGTTTTTTCGGACAACTATCGGGACGGGACGATGACGATGGCTCGGGACCACGAAAATGAATCTGACATCGTGAAATCGATACAATTTTAACAAAATGTTGGATACAGTATGACCTGACTTCGATAAATGGCGCCCTCGGTAAATGGCGGCTGGCGGCCGTCTGACTTTCGCGAAACATATCACTAGTGGCTCGTCGTTATCGCCCCAACAGTCGGGCGATAAACAAAGAAATCCCCAATATGTGCGACAGTCTAATGTTGCTAGGGCAGACGAGACAGTCAAGCCCGAGACACAACATGATGAAGCTCAGCGCGGTCGTCCTCGTCCTCCTGGGCCTGGCGTGCTACGGTAGGGGTGGGTGTAGCCCTGTGTGGCCGCCCACCGGGGCCAACACACTGGGGCGATGGTCCCGCCGATTCTAGAGAAGGATCGGTCCTCTCTAGGTTTGATGTGAGTAAAGTGAGTGAGTCGCTGGTTCGGTCGCTGACCTTGTCGCCCTGCGCTGCACAGCCGCCGCGGCCGCCGCCCCCAGCGCCGCACAGGCTGTGTCCACCGTCGCCGACGTGCGGGCCGCCCTGGAGAAGTACGACACCTGCGCGGACGACTGCGAGCCGACGCACTCCCGCTGCCACGACGCGTGCGCCGGGGGGCACACGCAGTGCGCCGCCGGCTGCCTCGTGGGCATGTTCAACTGCGCGTACAAGTGCGGCAGGCTCCTGCCCCCCTACCCCGAGGTGGCCGTCTGGGAGAGCCAGCTCGCCGCCGAGAAGAAGACCAACGAAACCAAGGAGCTCCTGGAAGCTCAGGTGAGGAAGCATGTCTCAACACACTATGGAGTGGCTCTGGATCAGGCCCATTTCCTAGATAATATAGTTCTTAAAAGTAGCATTATTTGCTAAACACAACTATGACGAAGTGTTACAATGTCAGACAAAGTAGTTAGTTCGTTTCTTTCGACGGTTTAAAATAAATCTATAGTCAGCAGGATATGTCGACAAATCTGTTAATAATCAGTGATAAATTTCTGGCAATTTGTAAACACTATCAACAGCTATACGCACCTCAATTTTTCCAACAATTTCTTTATCTTATTCAATAGAAGCCTCAGACTGTAGGGAAAGAAAATTGTTATTACTATTTTAATTTTAAATGTGTGTGTGCACCCATTCTCATGACTGGAAGTTAAGCAGTACATATGGCATGCAATTTTCAAATTTTAAAAACGTATAAAGCTGAACTCTAATCTGCTCTCTTTCAGTGTATACTTAATTCTATGTCGAGTGTTTACTAAATGAAGTTTTGCAGTTTAATTTGAGTCGTTTAAAATTTACTCCACAGACTCAATTCATCAGCGTGAAGCAGGCCTTGCAGCTGGACGGCTACAAGAATGTACCCAAAATCTCGGAGCTCGTCGGCTGCTTCGACACCGAGGGCACCCGCCTGATGACACGCTTCAACACGTGCGCGGAGAGCGTGGCCTGCAAGCTGGAGACGGTCCAGACCACCATCGACGCCTTCTGCAAGTGCGGCGCCGCGTGGGTCCAGCGCACCTCCGCCACCCCCAACCCCGAGCTGATCCAGTGCTACACTGCCACCAAGCCCAAGGCCTGAGAGGGGGAGGGTCACCGGCAACCAGAATCTTCCGTCCATCGACTCACACTTTGCCTCATGTCGATGCGGACTGCGTGACCACTATACTGGTAACGAGAACGCCTCGCATGCACGGTGCAACGGGAGCGAGCTTGAACGCGCTGAAAAGCGTTACGGACAAAATTATTGTTTCAGGAGTCATATTGGCTTCCTGTTATTATCATCCCTTTCCCTTCCAGGCTATACTTATAAAATAAATAATCATAACTTGCTTCCGATATTTTTGTACGTTCTTTAGTAGTTAAGGCAATATGTAATAGGAAATAATGGACACGACGAAAACTCTTGGATTGTACACACAGTTTCGAGTATATTGAACTTTTTGTGTTGCAAAGAACCTTTTTTGGAAACTGTCACAAGGTACAGTAGACTCACAATATATAATATGACGTCTGCCTTTGCCAACTCGTATGAGTATCAGAACAAGAAATTGCATTGCAATTTTTTTAGTACGAATGGACTGTATACATGCATAGTAAAACTGCTGAAAAATAACGGTTTGTACAAAATGTACGCACTTAACAGATCTGTTTGATATCTCTCTCGGGGTCAAGCGGAAAGCGAAGTTCACTCCGTTCGCTTTAAATGCGCTGACAAAGGTGGAATCCTTAAGACTAGTGAGATGAAATACGTCGATTATCACAGACGGTAGTTCGAAGTTATCGGCGGTCACTTCCGACAGAGGGCGGGGCGTCAGCTCACGGGGTCCTTGCGCGCGGCGCGATCCTCGGAGGCGTGCAGGAGCGCCAGTGCAAGCGCGCACAGGCCGGCGAGCACGAGCTGCAGCCCGAAGGCCGTGAGGGGGAGGGCCTCGCCGTACACCACCTGCAGCACGCACGACCCGAGTACAGACCCCAACCATATCACACCACAGCGGACACGTAAGGAGGCATATGGTCGTCCGTAGTACTCACCAGGTTGCCGACGAAGGGCGCGGCCAGCAGACAGATCCTGCCGAACAGGATGCAGGAGAAGACGAGGGAGGTCCTCTGGGGCGCGGCGAACAGCGGCGGCACGCACTGGGCGATGGTGGGCACGGCCAGGGCCACGGCCACGCGCTCCGCCAGCGCGCACAGCGTCACCTGCACGCCGCACGGCACTGCAACAGGCCATGATCATCTTGAATTATTGCGAAAATACTGGGCTAGCGAAGCGGGAACTGATATCGCGATATCCTGAAAGTATGTCAAGCCAATAAAGTGGCCCGGCCCCACTGTGCAGAACTTCCAGCAAAGTCCCCGCAGTTCCCTCACCTGCGCCTCCACCCGGCCCTACGAGGTGCGCCAGCTGCCCCGCGGAGCCGCACGCCACGAGCACCGCGCCGAGCCACAGAAGGGGGCGAGAGCACCGGGTGAGGAGGACGGTGCCCAGCAGGAAGCCCAGGATGCCGCTCACGCCTGCGGGGGAGGGAGAGAGAGAGAGTTAGAGTTAGAGCAATATCAGTTACAACTTCCATAGCACCCCTCCCGGCTCGGCCGCCACCCACTCCAATCAATCCGCTCACGCCGCTAAGAGGAGGGCCTTGCCGTGCTGAGCGTGGCGCGAGTTCTTAATTGAATACAGCTCACTCGGAGCTCGGAGGTGATACAACCCCACTCCCCGCTATCGTAAAATGCAAAATTCAATCCCCCCCCCCTCCTCTCCTGCCGAATACTGACCCGCCGTCGCCTCTCCGGTCGAGAGCCCCTCCATGCCCGGCGTGCCCCAGTTCCGCACGTTCAGGATGCTGCCGAAGAAGGTGTTGGTCACGCAGCCGAACAGGACGTGCGCGGCCAGCAGCTTGACGAGGTGGCGGCAGCGCCCGGCCGCGGCGCCGCCGCGCTCCGGGATCGCGGGGCACGACCACGCGCTGTGCTCCGCCCTGCGACAGACCGAAACGAAACCCATTCTGTTTCCTTTTCTCGCACTCTCTAACATTGTGCGATTATCATAAAATCTGATAGAATCTGTGAAGGGACAGTCCAAAGGCCCACTCTGGTTTGACATATGTCATTTGAGCTGGACGTATACCTGCGATGGGCGCGCGCCGCTGCGGCCTGCTGCTCGAGGCGCGCGATGAGGGCCGCCCTGGGCGGCAGCACCTGCCCGTCGACGCCGTTGGTGCGCGCCCCGCGCTCCCACACGGCGACGGCCTCGTCCAGGCGGCCGCGCTGCACCAGCCAGCGGGGGGACTCGGGCAGCAGCAGCGCGCACGGCACGATCAGCGAGAACGACGGCAGCGACACCAGCGCCTGTGAGGCAAGAGGCATAAGCACGAGCAGGGGCACGAGCAGGGGCACGAGCACGAGCGCGAGCACGAGCACGAGCACGAGCACGAGCAAGAGCGCGAGCACGAGCACGAGCACGAGCACGAGCTCGAGCAAGAGGACGAGCGCGAGCACGAGCACGAGCGGGAGCACGAGCGCGAGCACGAGCGCGAGCACGACATGCGCGGCGCGAGCACTGTACCTGCAAACACGTCCAGTTCAGGGCGTACCCGCCGAACACGGAAATGGCTATGATGCCGATGGACCACCAGATCTCGTAGAGGCTGGCGGTCAGCATCTTTGCTCTTCCGGTACACACGTCCCCGCCTGGGCAAGTTCAGGAAAAACAATAAACATCATTTGATGGAATGGAGCGGCCACTTTTGAGGCGATCGCGGTCGTGATTGACGACTCACTCAGCGTGGCGGCCGAGGTGAAGAGGTGCGCGCTGGAGATGGCGAGGAAGAAGCGCACCGTGGCGTGGGCCCAGAACACCTAAGGACACAAGAGTTGGTTCAGTGCGAAGGCAAGGGGAAGGGGACTCGGCTCCAAACGCTCGACGTTGGCGTCTGAACAGTTGCCTACGAGCGAGGCGCTGTGCTGTGCACTACTCCAATCCCCCTATCTCACGTCGGGTGGCCTGCCCACCATCGGCGCCGTGCTGAGTTGGAAGTCTGCCGTACCACATTCTCAGGAGTGCTGGAGGGTTTGCCTATCTCCTTTTGACCAAGGCGTATTAGAGCCTCCGTCGTGTAGGCATAGGCAACCCACCCGCACGCTTGCATGCGGCACAGTGCCATCATCGACAAGACTTGCGACGGAGCCAATATGGGCAGCCTTGTCGACATGTGTGGTTAGCCCAGCAGCTCACCTGCACGACGGAGAGCAGCAGCGCGAGGCAGGCCTCGGCGACGAGCGCGAGCAGCAGGACGGTGCGCGGGCTGCAGTCCCGCAGGAGCCGCATGCACACGGCGCCGCCCAGGGCGATGCCCACCAGGTAGCAGAACTGCGAGGAGCCGCTGAGGAACTGGCGGTAGCAGCCGTCGGCCCACTGCAACAAACACTCTGCCCGCCAGTTATGACTGTCATACGCACAGTGCCGCGAGACTCGGCATATTTGTCGTGCAATTTCCATAGGATTTACATTTGAATATCTGGAGTTGAACCACTCTCACCTGATTCACGGTCGGCAGCTCCAGCCAGTTTCTGCACTGTTCTTGCGGCGGAGGAGGTGTAGTGGCGTTGAACGCTGCGAAGTCGACAAAGATGTAGTTACTGAATTTTCAGCATATTGACAGCATCTTGTGTCAAAGCCACCAAAATTGTGTTTCGTCACGGGTTCGCTCGCGGGTCGCGGGTGCGTCATTGTAGACAGACTGGACCAAAAACTATTATTGGGCACGCCCACTTAGCAGCCTCCCTCACCGTATGAGCTTCTCCCACGCGACCACGGCGGGGCGTTCATACATTGTTGCACACACCGGCACATGTTATTGGGAGGTATTCGTTTCAAGAGGTAGGTTAGTGGGTTTCCCTCCGTCATTTTGACAGCGCAAACAGAGCAATGTTCTGTGCTCATTGTGGTGGGGAAGGGCAATACATGAGT